AATATTGTACTGGCAACCCTAGTCCTAGAAGCATGCCATTTCTATCGCTCAGTGTCAATGCAAGTACCTTGCCAAGTATACCATACTTCACAAGAGAAAGCTCTCTCTTTTCTCTTTGAGGAGAAGCGAAACCCAAACCTCTTTTTTTTTAAATCAACTAACTGAAAATATTGTTACCATCATACTCTTCTAGAATTCTGTACATTTTGTCTCTTCCCTAGGAGACTGTCAATTTGATCTGTTGCTGTGAATGTTTTTTATATCTGCTTGATTTAATTCCTAAACTGCCCCAATGAATAATGCTTACCTTTGGTATATTTATACTTTTCCAGGCTTGTAAAACTGTTTCTCCTTTGCAGTGTGTTTGTTGGAAAGATAGAATAGTGTTTCAACTGGAATTTGTTACTAACCGCAGACTTCCAGGTCAAATTTGGGCTCTTGATTTGGTTCCTTGTTTAGGAATCAAAATCAAATGTGACCGAAATGTCTGAAATGTGACTTAGCCAGTTAGCCGCGTCTCATTGCCATCAGCCCTGAATATTCCTTCCTATTTCTCCTCACTCTCTTGGTTGGGTTTGCTTACTTCCCATCTATTTGATATATGCTAAGTCTGAGCCATTTGGCTCTGTTCCAAAGTGTGATTCAATACATTCAGATATGGTGCAATCTGGTAGAAAATCTACAAAATCCATTTATAGGTGTACATAGCCTGTTTGTCATATACTATGTCATATCACTTTGAAAATGAGAATAAGTTCTGTTCCCAAGAGTTGCTCCTATTTAATGTCAGCCTAGTAACCTACTGGTTAAGGTAGCCAGAGCCTACATGGCCAGCCATGATTCAAATACCAGCCCCAGCTACTTGAAAAACATGCTAGGCCAATGTGGCTATATGACCAGAATCCCAGTAGGAGGAAGAAATGGAGGAGAAGGGGTTGTGGAGTAACCATGCCCCCTTGGGGAATGTTTTCTCGTTCTCTCTCTGTTTCTCTGTCTCTCTCTAATGAGCGTACATACTCCCTGACAATTAAAAGAAAAAAATAAAAGAGTTGCTCATATTTAGTTTGATCTTTAAGAAGATGGTCCCAAAGCCTCTTCTACTGCCCTCCAACATATTTCTCCCTGTGAAATTTACCCTCACATTTGCATCCCTGAAGCTGGCAGTAACTCATATAGTTGGTTCTAAGATATTGTTTTGTTTTACATTCCTGGGAAAACAGCACAAGAACAGCCATATCATTTCCGTTGTTCTTTTATTTGCTGTTTTTCTCCCCTAAACACATTGTGGATAGGTTCCACAAACCATGGGCCCAGTGGATGTTCAATGTTCCAAAAACTTCTAAGAGTTACATGATAAGTCAATTGAATATACATATTATATTTTTTCCTCATCTAGCATAAAAGTCTGGAAAAGTAACCCCCTTACTTTGATATATATGCTAGAGAATCTAATTTTTTAACAGCTTGTCATGTACCTGGGGTCCTATCCTATCTTGAGAACCATAACCCTGAAGATGGAATAAAGTATGTCCAAAGACTGGCAATCATATCAGATCAACACCTGCTTGCTAGCCTCATTCCTTACTAAAGTGACTCAAATGTAAGTGTTCTTTCTGGATTTATGGTGTGAGAATAGTCCTTATTTTCTATCTATTGCCACTAAAGCTAAAGAGCAAAGAAGTTGCTCGATTAAATTTTATGTTCTATAGACAGTTCCAATTTTTTTTGTTTTATTTGATCTCTATAATAAACAAAAATCTGTGTCTTTGTAACAAATATTGTTTTACTTATCTCCAAAGATCCTTAATATCCAATTTCTTTTTCATGTCACCACTTCAGATCTTTCTATCTGGTATATTTCAAATATTCTCTTTTTCATCAGAATTTTCTCAGAGTCTCCATTATTGTCCTTTTCTGGAAGAGCTCTGAGGTATCAGTATCTCTCTTCAAATAGGATTTGGGGGGACAGTAGGCGGCATGGTCATTAAGGCACTGGGCTCCCACAAGACTAACTGCATTTCAAGTCTTGGACCTGATGACTTGCTTTCTCACTTTCCCTCCGTCTCTCTGTCTCTCTCTGGTGAGCGCATATGCCCTATAGCAAATAAATAATAATAAATACAGTTAAATTATTGTTTTTAAAATAGAATTAAAATAGTTGTGGGTACAAAAATGATCCTCATGATATCATTCACAAAGGTGTGTAATTTTAAAATTTTGGACAGAAGAAATGATGGCATATCCACAGGGTAGACCATTATGCAGTCTCCATGCTGCATTTCAAAAGAAAATTTTGGGCCATAAAAAATATTCAAATTATGTTATTAAAAAATTAAGATTAGCTGGGACCAACAGATGGTGTAATGGTTATGTCTTTGGACTCCCACATCATTGACTGTGGTTTGAATCCTGGAACTGGTGACTTGAAACTCACACTGAGCACATGTGTGGGTGTACCCAAAATCCGAGGTATCAGTATCTCTCTTCAAATAGGATTTGGGGGGACAGTAGGCGGCATGGTCATTAAGGCACTGGGCTCCCACAAGACTAACTGCATTTCAAGTCTTGGACCTGATGACTTGCTTTCTCACTTTCCCTCCGTCTCTCTGTCTCTCTCTGGTGAGCGCATATGCCCTATAGCAAATAAATAATAATAAATACAGTTAAATTATTGTTTTTAAAATAGAATTAAAATAGTTGTGGGTACAAAAATGATCCTCATGATATCATTCACAAAGGTGTGTAATTTTAAAATTTTGGACAGAAGAAATGATGGCATATCCACAGGGTAGACCATTATGCAGTCTCCATGCTGCATTTCAAAAGAAAATTTTGGGCCATAAAAAATATTCAAATTATGTTATTAAAAAATTAAGATTAGCTGGGACCAACAGATGGTGTAATGGTTATGTCTTTGGACTCCCACATCATTGACTGTGGTTTGAATCCTGGAACTGGTGACTTGAAACTCACACTGAGCACATGTGTGGGTGTACCCAAAATCCTGAGATGAGAATGGAGGAGAAGGGATTACAGCGTGGCTATCACACCTGGGAGGGGGCAGGTAATTTCTCACTTTCTGTTTCTCTGTCTCTCTGGTGAGTACACAGGCACTATATCAAAAAGGCTCTCTCTCTAAAATAAAAAGCTAAGATTAGGCCAGCTCTATGACACAACAATTAAGTGCTACCTAGAGAAAGCCAGATTCCACATAGTTGACCAGGGTTATAAGTCTTGGCCCAGGGTTATAAAAAACATGCCAGGCATGCACAAGGATGCCCATCATCCTGATGAGACGGAGAATTGGAGAAAAAGGATTGTGCATGACCAGATCATTCTGGGGGATGATTTTTCTCTCTCTTTCCTCTCTCTCATGCTCCCATATCATTAGGCATAAAAATATTTTAAATATTGAGATTCACGGTAGCATATAAACATAATTTTGATTGCAATTGAATATATTTAAAGTATGTTTTATTTTATACATATACATAGTAAAAAAGATTGAAAGGAATATATCAAAATGAAAATAATGGTGGGGTGGGATTTTATTTTATATCTCATTGTTTTCCATTCTTAAACAATTAACATCTGTAGAACTTTTCTCATCTGTAGAACTGTACATCACATTCTAGGTGAGCTCTGATGTAATACAGAATATTAGATCTTAACCCCCTTTTATCTGTGCACTGCTTCACTTAATGAAGCCCAAACATGAATAAGGCATTTCATATTTTGAATTATCCATGGAGAATGAATTTGGAGTAAGGCTTTCTTATGTTATTGCTTTGAAGCCACCTCCCCTTTTTTTATTACTATATCTCATTCTCTAAATTGATTTAATTGGGGGAGGGAGGGTACTTGTTTAATTGGATCCTAGAGAGGATATAATACATACTGTGGAAATTAGAGTATAGGAAAATACTTAAGTGGAAAGTCCTTTATGAATATGTGGATTGGTTATAAAATACATGTAGAATGGTTATCATAAATGGATAAATACCAGCCTTGTAGCACAGTGGCTAAGTATCACAGTGGAAGCTGAGTTCCACATGGCCAACCAGGGTTTACTTCCTAACTCCAGTGGCTAGGAAAGCATACTATATGTGGACACATACCCATGATCCTCATGGGATGAAAAATTGGAGGAAAAAAAGATTATGACATCAGAGGGCCCCATTGGGAAGTGTTCATTCCCTGTTCTCTATTTCTCTTTCTCATGCATGTACATGTGCCCTATGGCATTAAAAAATAATTGAAATAAATAAAAAGACAATAACTAGTGTTGGGGAGGATATAGAAAAAAGGAAACATTCACATATTGCTGATGTGGTTAGCAAACAGTGTAGCTACTTTGGAAAAAAGTTCCTCAGCTCTTTAAAAAGTTGAATATAGGGGCCAGTAGGTGGTATAATGGTTAAGATGCTGGACTCCCACATGGTCAACCACCAAATGGGTTTGTGTCTTAGACACAGTGGTTTGAAAATTGCACTGGATATGTGTGCACGTGTGCCCCAAAACCCAAGAAGTAAATAGAAGAGAAAGGATTGTAGCACAGCCATCTCCTCGAGAAGCGATTTCTCACTTTCCCACCCTCTGTCTCTCTCTAGTGAGTGCATGCATCCTACGACATATAACCTTAAAAAACAATTGAATATAGAGGTCAGTATGTGATATGGTGGTTAAGGCACTGAATTCCCACATGTTAAACCACAATTTGAACCCCAGAGCCAGTGGTTGGAAAATCATGTCAGAAGCATACACATGCATGCTGAAAATCACAAGAAAAGAATGGAGAAGGGTTTGTGGCATGGGTATCCCACTGAGATTTCTCACTTTCCCTCTCACTGTCTCTCTTCTTCAGCAAGCATATCTGCCCTGTTGCAAGAAAAACTAAAATAATAAGTTGAATATATATTTAACACATCATCCAGTAACTCGACCTCTAGCTATCTGAAGGAAATGAAAAGATAAGCTGGCATTTGTACAAGAATACTTACAGCAGCGTTGCCCTCAGTTGCCAAAAAAATAGAAATAATCCAAATGTTCAGCAACTAGTAAATAAATAAATGTGATATATTCATACAGTGAAATATTATTTGGCAATGAAAAGTAATAATTTACTGATACATTCAACAAAATAGATGAACCTCACAAGTATTATGCTAAGGGCCAGAAGGCAGATGAAAATGACTACAGATTGAGAATTCCATTTATATAAACTGTCCAAAAACAATAAACTGATAGAGGCAGAAATAAGATTATAGTTTGCCTGGGGGCTGGAATGGGGATTAATTGAAAGTTGGCAGGAGAGATCTCTGAGTTGGTGAAGATTGGATTTTCTGATGATTACATGTCTGTTGATTTACTAAAGTCATCACTGAATAGTATATTTAAAAATGGATGAGTTCTATATTATGTAAACTGTACTTCAATGAAACTGTTCATTTTCTTTATTAGGATTTTTCCACAGTGCACTTGTCAGAGAGAGACAGAGAGAGGGAAAGTGAGAAATCACCACCCACCCCAGGGTAGATAGCCATGCCACAATCCCTTCTCCTCTATTCTTTTCTCAGGATTTTGGGATTGCATGTACATGCATGTGGCACCAGGTCTGGAGTTTGAACTGTGATCAGCCATGTGGGAGTCTAGCACCTTGGACCCTAAAGCTGTTAATTTTTTTTTAAAGGTAGAATATGTGGATTAACATTTCTTGTTTTTTTCTAATTACTGTTGTCAAACAAACCTCCAGGAAACTCAGCTCAGATCAGAGAATCAGTCATTGAGGAGGCAAATTATGTTCTGGGCTGTAGCTTTTCTACCAGACAAACGTCAATTTATATTGTACTTTTCTTCCCTGGATCCTCATGGAATTTGTCGTTCACTCTACCTTGCAATCTATTATGTCTGAAAATTGATTGAGAACCTGCTTAACGCTTATATGAAACTCTAATAGTCATTTCAGTCTGACTGCAGCACAACATTGCTGAAGTCGAATGCTATTTCTTGTCTTCGTATTTACAGGGATCTTATATGATCAAAGTTGACACAAAAGGGAAAAAAAAATAACACTTATTGGTATACACAGCAAAAACATTCACCACGATCGTGGGAGTGACTTAGTCACCACTTATCATGCGTATCACAAAGCAGCAGAAATCCCTGTGAAAATTGGATGACTGCAATTCACTCATTCTTCAGTGAGTTTTTACAATTAAAAACAAGTTGACATTGAACATGAAGCATGAAATGCACAGTTTTGTTTTTAAAAATGTATCTGCCATTTGGATGATTAGGGGCTCCTTCTCACAGGGCATATTCTCAGATATTGTGTACAAGAAAGAGCCAATATGGTCATAAAAATCCTGTTTGCATATGGCTAGGAAAACATTTCTAATTTCTTGAAATAATGGTTAAAAGGTATTCTGAAATCTTCAGGTGAGAATTTTTCTCCTTTTGTTTCTTTTCATTTTTAATTTTTATCTAAGCAATCTATTATGACCTACAAATAATAATGAGCAACAGTGATTTATAGACTTTTATATTTCTTCTGCTTTTTCCCTTTTATGTGGCAATAATCTGTCCTCCTTTGGGGGTCACTTTTAGCATTAGTTTCTTTGTCTGAAATTTTTTCATTCTTAATTATTATCAGTGCAACTAACCTAGTATTGACATTGTATTGGGTGTTGACTGGTCAGAGTTAGGATCAGTCTTGGAAAATTTTATTGGGGAGGGGAGTTTCTGTTAGTTTTCCATTTTTGATCTTTAACTACATAACTGTTTGAATTTTTATTTCAACCTGTTTAGACTATGAGTACTTTCTTGATTTTCAGAGTTTTGTTCCCTCTCCATTATTTATTGGTTCATTTCATTATTCAACCAGTCAAAATTTAATGGGATATCTACTCTAGTTCCATCTTCTGGAAGTGTGGAAATAAAAGACATAATCTCCACCTCAACAGATTCACCAACAAGTCAACTGACAACAAAAATAAAGTGACAGGCCAACCCTATGGCCCAGTGGTCAAAGGACTGGATCACACATGGCTGATCACCTGGTTTAGGTCCCTCCAATGGCATGAAAAGCAGGCCAGGGACATGTGTGCATGCCCAAATCCTGACTGGAAGGAGGGACAGAGAAGGAATTGTGATATGAACAGGCCCTATGGTGGGGAGGGTGTGTTTTTCTCTCCCTCTCTCTCTGACAAGTGCACATGCCCTCTGGGGTGGGGGGGATAAAAAGAAAGGAGAAGAAAATAAATATTATTACACAGGAAAAGAAGTAGGGCTGAGTGATGGCACTTAACAACAGATTGGGAAAAGGAGTCAGGATGACTTCTTGAATGACCTTTCGATTACATCTTGAAGAAACAAGGAAGCCATTTGGAGAAGATAGAGCAAATGGGACGTAAAACTAATACAAAGTTGTATTGGGTTGTCAGAAAAGTCATGACTCATTTTTACATAGAAAAAATACGTTATTTCTCTCTTTTATCCATTTAGTTAATAAATAGACCGTGCTGAAAGCAAAAAGCATACTTTTCCAACAACTCAATAGGTACATGAAAGAACATGGCGGCTTTGGGAAAATAGGAATACTTCTGTTTGCGAGGGAATGGGAAAACTTGGGCATATTGGGTAAACTCTCATTCTTCCTTTTTACAAAGTGGAGACAGCACAGAGGTTGCTCACCAGAGTTGCAGGTTTATAATAAATGTTTTGTGTTTCTTTAGTGGCAGAGCAAGGAGTTTACATGTCTCTTCTGATTAAGTGTGAAGGAAACCTTTTTGGTTAAATTTCAGTCTCTTTGTGAAATTCTACAATCTTACAAGTAGCGTGTAATCCAGGTACAATAGATAGATGACTCTTGTTAACATTTCAATTTTTTTCTTTAAATTAATAAACTTAATTTTTTAATTTTTAAAAATTTAAAAATGTTTTTATACCTTCAATCTCTGTATATCATTACAGCTTGCAAAATGAATTATTCCTGGGGCCAGTGGCTGGTGTGGTTGTTAAAGGCGTTGGACTCCCACAGGAGTTACGGCAGCTTGCTTTCTCACTCCCCCCCCCCACTTGCTCTTGCTCTTGCTCTGGTCAAATTAAAATAAATAAATAAAGTTAAATAAAATAATTCTTTAAAAAGTGAAATTTCCCAGCATGAATACATTGCATATTAGTCCAAAGATACTATCATACACATTAACATCAACAGATAATTTTCCATTTTTGTGTCCCTTAAATGTTTTGCTTTTTTCTTTTTCCCCTTGATTCCCTTTCTCTCTGTGCTATTAATAATTAAGAGGTACATTTTGCTCGTTTTGTAATTTGTTTGAATTGTTAGGATATAGCAATTGCTAAAGAAAGACAGAACACCATAGTGGCTTATAGCTCAGGCTTTTGAAGTTACACTTGTGTATTTCCTATTTCTAATCAGAAAAATGAGAAAAATAGTATATAACACAATGTTTTCTGAGACTTGGAAGACTTACAAGTGTTTAGCAGAGTCCCAAGCAGGTAGAGAGACTTCTGCATGGCAGCTAAAAGTCTTAATCTTCCTGTGGTCTTGTTTGCAATGGTAAATTAGTAAACACATTGTTCCCTCAACAATGGAATAATAAAATGGTTTTTGGTGTCAATTTTTATCATTTATGCTTTTATTCACCATCCTCAAATCATTTTATCTTTTTTCTCCATTTAATTAATAAACTAAATAGACTAGGCTGAAAGCAAAAAACATGAAAATTTTTCAGAACTATGGGTTACCATATGTTAGTAAGCCAAAGAACCATTTTAATGGGCAACAACTAATACTCTGTGTTTATGAAATAGAAAGGAATATAATTGAAACCATAGAAGTATTAGGGAGTCAGAAAGAGTG